AACAAAACAAAACAAAAAAGGTTCTGAAGAACCTAGGGGCAGGACAGGAATAAAGACACAGATGTAGAGAATGGACTTGAGGACATGGGGGGGGAAGGGTAAACTGGACAAAGTGAGAGAGTGGCATGGACATATGTACACTACCAAATGTAAAATAGATAGCTATTGGGAAGCAGCCGCATAGCACAGGGAGATCAGCTCGGTGCTTTGTGACCACCTAGAGGGGTGGGATACGGAGGGTGGGAGGGAGACGCAAGAGGGAGGGGATATGGGGATATAAGTATACATATAGCTGATTCACTTTGTTATACAGCACAAACTAACACAGCAATGTAGAGCAATTACACTCCAATAAAGATGTTAAAACAAACAAAAATCCCACTAACTTAGTGTACGTGAAGGACACATTTCTAGCTTTATAGTCCTACTGTGAAAAGATCTCATGGTCGCTCAGAGAAAACAACAAACTACTGCAGAATTACAAATAGCACCTTTAAGGGTTTGTTGTTGTTTGTTTATTTTTAATGCACTCCAGCCTGGCAGAGCTGAATGACTCTTTCCTTTAGAAAACATTCATCTAACTCCCAAATATGTATAAAATAAAAGTGGATAGTTTCACTTAGTCTAAATAAGACGCATTCTGTGGCTTATGCAGCCTACCCCAAAATTTTACTGAGAGCAATTTGAAGATAATGACCTAAAACCCCAATAAAGTCAGAGGGCAGAGGACTCTAACTGTACCAGAAAAACAACAGAAGAGTTGAGACTATGGCTGAAGAAAGCAGCTCCACTCGTGCTATGTGGCTGATAGGCCTCATCAACGTGGGTTGTAGACAGAAGTCTGATAAAAAGCAATTCTGCCTGTCAATACGAGTGAGCAGAACTGACCCTTAAATAGAGGGCAATTTTTTTTAATCAGGTGAACAGTAAGCAGCCAAGTAACAAGATAATTTATGCAGCATCACCTACTCTTTCAGCAAAAAGATCAATCTCTCCCATCACAGAGTTGTTCCTGGTAGCCTCTCTAGTGCAAGAAGCAGGGAGTAAAAATTAGTCCTCAGATCTGTGCCTCGGGTACAACGAAAAGGGACACCCACCCCAAGGACGAAAGATATACCAGTGCCACATGGAAGAGAACTACCTAAAATGTCACAATAAAGCAATGCCCAAGGAACTGTCTTGTGGTCACAGGTCCAGGAAAGATGCCCCAGGACAATGCACTATTTACACAAGTATACAGAGAGCAACTCTGGATGTGTGTATCTATCATTGACAAAAATGCCTTTCACAGCATTTTCTCCTAAGGTTCTTTGCCAGGCTTGTTGAGGAGACTATACATTCTTCAGGATTACGATCCCAGAGCTGATGTTGCCAGGCGCATCTGACTCTTTGAAGAAGTTCATGCCCCTTGTTACAAGAGAATTTTGCAGCCTGTCTAAAGGAAGCTATCAACATACTTCCCAAGATTTACACGAGGAACTGAAAGCTTACAAAGGGATAGAGGTCAGAAGAATAGGTCATTACGTCCACTTAATTAAATCTGAAAATGGATTCTTTGTGCTTCTAATAGACAAGGCACTTTAAGAGTCTGATTGTCTAATCACCAAAGTACCTCCAAGTGTTCTCCCCATTGAAACCTAAAGTAAGGTGTTTATAACAGTAGGGTGGAGGACACAAAAGAGAAGACAATATGTGGAAAAGGAATAATGCACTAAACGAACACCCCTTCCTGGTGTCTGTACTCCAACACTCCTTGTTGGTGGCAGGTATTTAGAGTGAGGGGAGGTGGTGAGAGGAAGAGGTTAGGAACCTGCAACACTTTATTTTAGTCTCATTTATCAGCAGTCACTGACAGTACTGCTGAAGATGCTCAATGATCATCCAAAAGGCATTCTTCAAAGTGCAACAACCTAAATCTTCCACTAACTGATAAATGCATAAACAAAATATGGTATATTCATACAGTGGAATAGTATTCAGCCAAAAAAATGGAGTACTGATATATACTGCAACATGGATGAACCTCGGAAACATTATGCTGAGTGAAAGAAGCCAGACACAAAAGGACACATATTGTATGATTCCATTTACATGAAATGTCCAGAATAGGCAAATCTACTGAGACAGAAAGCACACGAGTGGTGCCCAAGGGCTGGGGGGAGGAGAAGGATGGGAAATGACTGCCAATGGGTATAAGGTTTCTTTTTAGGGTGATGAAACTAGTCTGGAATTAGTGGGTATGGTTGCACGGCCTCTGAATACACTAAAAACCACGGAACTGTCCACTTTAAAATTGTTGAATTCTATGGTATGTGACTTATGTCTCAATTTTTGAAAAAGCCATTCTTTAGTTCAGCTTTTCTACTGCCCCTTAAGTCTCCCAGCGCTCAACAGAGGGCCTGCTTCCTGGGACCCCCAGCGGGATACCCTTCAGTGTTGCCCTATTTATGAGATCGAGAGGAAGTGATGTCAAAAAAGATTTAAGTGCTTATACTGCTTTTGTTCCATCACGTATGAGAGGGAAAGGGGAAAATGATTAGGCAGCACTTCTAGTGTAATCTTCTGCCACACAGTGAGGGCAAATCCGTAACACTCCGACTGCGGCGAAAGCAGGCTGTCCAGTCATCCTGGGACAGTAGATACCATGCTTCTGTTTTTCTAAAAGGCAGCTCTTGCTGAGCTACTTCTTTACCTACTCGATGACAAACTGCCAACATTAAGACATTCATAGTATTTCAAATAGTCTGGAGACTTTCGCTAGTACATTTTAAAGAAGGTAAGCCATCAATTCTTACCAAGATCCACTCATAATATAGGAACTGTGCTCAGATACAAAATGACAGATGGTGCTAGAGTACCAATAGGTGATCATTCAAAGTAATTAGTTCTGATCAAAAAATGTCTTTTGGTGCCTTTTTGTTACACCATTAACTATGTCACCATGTGTGCAGTGCTGGAATCTTTTGTTTGGTTCAGAAAGTAGAACACTCATGCACAAGTCTGGAAGAAGAATGAATACTAGATTCTAGATTGTTATCTTAAACTTCCTTGGAGTTTTCAAATGGTCCATGTCTGACCTTACTGTGGAGAGACTGTCTGGCAGAGGAAAATACTTAGGAATTCAATGCACCCACAATTTATCAACACGAGGTATCACCTGCTCATAAACAGTCTTAGGAGGAAATTGTAATTCCATGGAAGGTGGTCATCACATTACCTTGGTCACACCACACACAGCACATCTGGGAACAATATTATAAAAGCACCAGGGAGAGGAATATTACAGTATAAGTTTGAACAGTGTCTCTAGAACCAGAGCTTGGTGTGTGTGTGTTGTCCTGTTGAGAATTTTAAGGCGACGAGGAGGCAACAAGGGTGTCTGACCTGTGGGCTCCTTCACTTTCTGTGGAATGACACTTCAAAAGGAGTCAGAGGAAGCCACAGTAAGGATGATCTGTGAGTAGATGTGACCTGTAAGCCTCAGGTGACAAACTTGGAATACTGGCTCTTGGGTTCTCTATCAGCTCAAGTGCCACAATTATGAAAAAGGAATTTCTAGATTCAGACGTAAATAATCACAAATCTATAATAAATAAGTACCATATAGCCTATTCAAGATTATGAATGGAAAGAGAAACATGATTAAAATCTTCAGAGACTATATCTCACAAGAATTAAATTACTTGTAAACAAAGTCATACAATCAAACCCATCATTATACATTTGTGGGACCTAGATTAAGACACAGCACAGTTTACGAGAACACAGAGGCATCCACAGTGTGTGCTTCTTAGAGGGTGTATTATTCAGATTAGAAAATGTAGCAGCATAACTCACTTTAATGTTGACCCTGGTTCAGGGGCAAATGTGGCAAGTCCAAAGCCCTCAAACAGTTCAAAGACCCAATTTCAGCCAATATTTTACTTTTCCGCCAGAGACTTACAAAAATTACCTATCAGAAGCAAAACTGACAGGCCAGAGTTTCCTTTCTTCCCATGCATGCTTATTTGGGGACACTAAAACAGAAGGGTAACTGAGAAACAGAAGCCTAGAAAATCCACAAACTACACAATACTACATAATCATACTGTATATGCATAACCTGTATTTTAAAAATTAAAAATAAACACACACACTCACCCCTAAAAATATCTCAAGTACCGTAAAGGAGACTGAATTCCCCTATAAATTAGATTCCTGGGGTATATTTCAAATGTGTTTTCTCAAAACAATTAGTCAAGAACCCTTTATTCCCAAACCTGGGCCTCTGTATTTCGTAAGAAAAATGAAAATCAACACAAATGGCCTACACTGTAATTTTAAAAACACAGCATTGGGCTTCCCTGGTGGTGCAGTGGTTAAGAATCCACCTGCCAATGCAAGGGACATGGATTTGAGCCCTGGTCCGGGAAGATCCCACATGCTGCGGAGCAACTAAGCCCGTGCGCCACAACTACTGAGCCTGCGCCCTAGAGCCAGCGAGCCACAACTACGGAGGCCCATGTGCCACCACTACTGAAGCCCGCACACCTAGAACCCATGCTCCGCAACAAGAGAAGCCACTGCAGTAAGAAGCCTGCGCACTGCAACGAAGAGTAGCCCCTGCTCCCCTCAACTAGAGAAAGCCTGCGCGCAGCAACGAAGACCCAACGCAGCCAAAAATAAATTTTTTTAAAAAAATTATTCTTTAAACCCCCCCCCCCAAAAACAGTATTTCCTTCCACTGCTTTTCCAAGGTAAGCACCTGAGCAGCTACGCAGGTTCTAACAACTGAACAGCTTTCTATTATGACCTAATTATTTGAAAAACATGATACTTTGAACGAATTCCACTGCCAAGGGAGAAGCTGGATACATTTTGCTGTTACTGATTATTAAGTTTTATGGACCTCCTTTATTTCTTCTTCCCTGACAACCACTGTTTTTTGGGGTTTTTTTCACCTAACCAGGTAGAGGAAGATAGTCAGTAGCACTGTCACGCTATAATTAAAGACCAAATACCTTAGTTGCTTCAAGAACTCAACATCAGAGTTGCTGTTAATAAGCTTGATGAACTCTTCATAGGAGGGAGCATACGTGTAGGCTCTCTTGTGATGTTCATTCACCTGTTCTCTGTGCTCCAACTGGGCAAGCAACATCTGGTTAATGTAATCTGGATTACTAAGTAACTCCACTACTGGCTTTAAGACTGTGGGACAGAGAAGAAAGCACCACTTAAAAAGGGTATTCTCCTTTAAAGAAACCGCTTTCATGTTATATAATTGAAACTACATCTGGGAAACATTTTAAAACTACCCAAATGGGCCACAGACACACACACACACCCCCACACACACAGCTACCCATTCCTCTGGGTTTGCTAGTAGTTATGGCTACAACCAAGTGGTCGTTTTAACAAATGAGTTACATGTAAAAGAATAATGAAAGAAAGCCATCTGGAACCCAAGTTGTTAACAAAGCTATCAAAATTAAGTACATTCATTTTTTTCCCTTTGATTTCTTTTATAAGGCTCAATATGTTTTGTCTGCCAAAAGATGAAAGTTAACGTTCTCCCAACTGGTGAAACAGACCTCAGGGAGGAAGTTGTTAAAAAAGTCAATGACACTATGACAGATTCATCCCACTAACTTCAGGTTAGAAAGTTCCCCTTTTCTCTGTGGTTGGCTATATCAGCTAATGGGTACAGCTGGCTAACCCAGAGATAATAAATGAGATATTAAATCACGGCATATCAAACACAACGTTATTTGTTTGAGATTCTGAGATAGGAAAAGTTTCTCTCAGATGATATCTTCTTCCATTTTTCCTTATCCTAGCTAAGCATTTCCCTGGATACACCTTTTTTCTAACAACCACATTATTTTGTGGTACAGTCCCTCTTCTATTTATTCTAAGTCACATATAGGCATTGCCAATGAATCCTGAAGCAAAGGTATTTTAAACAAACGCATACTAGAGTTTGAGTATAGACAGTCTTTCATAAAGCACGTAACTGGCCTGGGTGACTCAAAATCTATCCCAGGTGGATGCTACACTGTGGTGGGCATAAGGACTGGTTACCTATTATAAACAGCTGAGTGGACTATGTATTTGGTAATATGTTATATGAAATATCTGTTTATCACGTAGGGCCAAGTGATGCCTTCTCTGAGTGACATTTAAACCTGACCTTTTGAAAATACTTTAATTCCCATATGTCCCACAGTATACAAGGTCTGCATAGGTGTCATATAAAGTGTTATCACATTCGTATGTAGCACGTTAGCTTGCACAAGTATCGCATTAGTAATATCAATTAGTTATGAAAGTCTACCTTTTGCTGTGAGAATTTCTGCGAGCATTATGCGTAAGCTGAGAGACTGGACATCCTTTGAGGGAAGGAGACAAAACACCAGAACCCGAGAACACGTTTGTAGAAATCTTACTTCATCATCTGAGTTCCTCAAGAATGCATGCAACACAAAGGGCCTCGGCTGTTCTTCATGTCTGAAAAAAATAAATACATGAAGAGAGGGAAAGGGAAGGAAAGATGTTTCTAGAAACAGCTTGGTTATGTACCATTAGGTAAAAAACAACTTCAAATGGGCAACGCAACAGTTTTAATAACTATGTCCACTCTTTGACTATATCAACAGTCAGTAATTTTCTCAACCACAGACTAATCTGGAAAAATGCAAATGCATGGCCTTTCGGGATTTCCAACCTTAAGTAGCATCAACCTTCATACACGACTCCCAAGTCACAGCAACAATCTAGAAAGGGGTGAGCAGCTCTTTAACTAGATTATTTTTAAGTCTCCTAGCTCTCTCCCTAAATGTGATCTATAGCTTCATTTCTCCAAAGGAAAAAAAAAAAAATCTAACAAAGCATTAAACCAGGGTCACCAGCTCCTGGCAGCGTCCTCCTGTCAGTGTGGATCTGCCACTTGTTTACTCCAACTACTAGTACTTACCTCTGGGTTCTCATGCCGTGAGTGAGCAAAAGGACATTAACCTTCCATACACTTCATACGTGCAGTATTATTTAATCTTCCCACCTACATCTAGAAGCAAGTATCATCATCACCATTTTATAGATGAGAGTATTAAGGATCTGAATGATCACCTGAACGGTCCAAAGTCACAGAGGTAACAAATGGTAGAAATAACTCTCAGGTCCTGTTCTGTCTGACTCTCAAGTCCAGACTCTTTAACGCTACACCATAATCAGAGATTGTTAAAGTGAAAAGGAAAAAAATTTCAGAGATACAGAAGAAATATATGTGAAAACAAGCATTATTTTGTGCCTTAAACAACATGCCTGTGCTTGACCAGTAAACAAAATGCACAGATTGTAAAAAGGAGGCTGTGAAATTAAAGATGCCGTTGATGTAATAGCATAAAAACAATCATCTTTAGGTTTTCCTGAAACATGCTGGACAAGACAGATGGGGCAAAGGAAGAGGAAGCAGAGGCAAAAATTAAGTGTGATCTGGATTGGCTTAAAGCAGCCAACAGAATGTCAGCTGGGAAATGAATACAGGCTGACCGGAAAACTGCCTCACACAACTGCCTAACAGTCAACCAGAGGATGCGTTGCTTTTATTAATGCAATTTATTATTCTCTTGCCTGATAGTGGCCAACTCAGTTGGGTGCTTCCTGGCTGCCACAGTCATTTTGCAGCCAGTGGAAACCTGTACACCAAGGGTGATTTCCAGGGCGAGGGCACTGTTTACCTGGGGCAGGCAAGTACCGAGGTAACCATCGGACCTAGGTTTCTGCCACTCTCACTGTGTGATCTGTAGGAGGTGTTGCACAATCAGATATTAGATCCCCAGCATTCGCCTCCAGGGCACGATCATCTACATGCAAAACACCAGTGACCTACTGGCACTTTTTCAAATATCCATAATGTCAGAGAACAATGGTAGATTTTTTTTCCTTTAATAAGAATCATCAACTAGAAGCTTCTAGGCATAGCCTAAATGTACCCTTGGCACGAGAAAACTGGAATTCCACAGGAAAGGAGCTTCTAAAATGGAATCAATTCTCTGTTTCTATTATTGTGATGCTTACTCATCACAATATCTTTATATTATCCACAAAAGCAGTAATTTCAGAAGCTGGTAAATAAATGTCTCAGTGAAAAATATACTCTCGGGCTTCCCTGGTGGCACAGTGGTTGAGAGTCCACCTGCTGATGCAGGGGACACGGGTTTGTGCCCCGGTCCGGGAAGATCCCACATGCTGTGGAGCGGCTGGGCCCGTGAGCCACGGCCGCTGAGCCTGCGCGTCCAGAGCCTGTGCTCCGCAACGGGAGAGGCCACAGAAGTGAGAGGCCTGCGTACCGGGGAAAAAAAAAAAAAGTCTTAGTTTAATATCTAATATGGTAAATATTGACCGACAGGATGAGTGGTGAGCTGGTAAATGTTCAACTGGCTCTCCAAGGGGGAAAAAAAGCTCTGATTTGTAGCATTTGCCGATTTCAAGGAGTAAATACCCATGCCATGGCCAATTACAAACCGACAAGGTGATCATCACTGACCTCAGAGTTGAGAGATGTGCACTGTCCGCTCCCGCACCCAGCACAAGCCGGCCCTGGGACACCACAGCTCTAACCCGCTTAAACAGAAGCTCTTTCAGGTCCTTGATAACTTTTATGAGTGTAGAGGGATTCTGAGACCACGAAATCTGAAAACTGTAGCTCTACAGTAATTTTTTCAAACCGTGGGTTGTGACCCACAAGAAACAAAATAAAATTTAGTCTCAAATGCCATTTTTTTTTAAATGGTAAAGAACAAAAAATATCAAAGTTTTCACAGGTACTGAGCGTTATCTGATGAAACTGCATCACAATATAAAATGTATTCCTGGTTTTATTTTTAAAGTTTGCAAAACACACCGGGGGCAGCAAGCTGGAGAAGAACAGGCATATGGCAGCCCTGTGGATTCTGGCCACGTGAACCTGAGCTGCGTGGACATGGGGAGAGGGGACAACTCGTGGGAAGAGGCGGCACAGCCAAGGACAGAGGGCTGCTGCTGCACGACCGAGCGCCCTTGGCAGCCAGGCCCCAGAGCAACCTCACAGGCAGGACAGGGAGTACTTTCTGACAGAGCCGCAAGACAGGGCTTCTTAGAACAATGTGAGTTCCCACCTGCCCGACGAGGGTGCCTCTGCTTACTCATCCCCTTACGTATTTTGCAAATACTTTCTCTCGTCCCCGACGGCAGAGGCAGAGCAGTGTCAATGAGAAGAGGCCACAGGAGCTGCAGGGAGCCCGCTGCTACTCCAACTGAGTCCAGATGCAAACAGGCAGAAGGCTACTTATTGCAGTAAGACTGCTTTTCATGTCCCAGTTAGAGGTGCTATGAGTCACCATGCTGTCACTCACACAAGAGTAAGACAAACACTTAAAATCCTATCCGCAAACCTAAGAGAATAAGAATTTGTTATGAGCACAGAAAGGCCTTGTTGCAGTCTTCTTCCATAGGCAGAGTCACCTCACAGGCACAAACCTTTCCCGTGTAACAGAGCAAAAGGCTAACAAGCCTAAATATTAGCAATTTCCACATTGGAAGACCTTCTCTAATTACAGCCCACATGCTCCAACACTGAGTTCCTTTTAAAAATCAATTTTCAGGATATTGTGACGCAACAGAGCTCTTAACACAGGACTCACACGCACACAAAAATGAACTTCATTTAAACTTTCCTGAAAACTGAAAACTCACTGACACTCTTCCGAGTGTAAAGCACTATATTTAAATGTTCTGTTTCTAGGCACCCTTAATACTGTCTAAATACATTCATGATAGTGCTGCTGGCTCCATAAAATTCATGTCACTGTTTCAGTTATTTACAAAAGCAAACAAGTCCACAAAGTGGTTTTCTATTAAAAATTTTTTAAGTTTACTCTATCAGAACATTATAATTATCCCCCCCCAATATGTCTACATTTCCAGCCGAGTGCCAGCAACAGGATGAATGTGCCCGAGTTTTGTCTTGACTTCAACGACCCTCTCAATAAGGAAAATATTCTACTGTGAATAAAGGTGAAGGGGAGGTTGTTCCCATTATAACAGTTACCTGGCGTCTGCCGCCTTCAGGTCACAGAAGTGAGCGAGTAAAGCTCTCACGACATCACTGCAGACAACTCTGACCATGTCCACGCGGCTCAGCCTGTGGCGCAGCCGTCTGACAACTTCCCAGAAGTCCTCGGAAAGCAGGTGGTAGAGCTGCCCCTCGTCTCTGCTGAGGCTTCCATACCAGGACAGGATGTAGTCTCTGTAACTGTAGTCAAACACTACCAGGAAGAGACAGAGCAACGCGTCAAACTTGGGTGAAAACAACAGACACCGAGACGGCTTTTCTACTGGAAGCTGGCCACCTGCTATTTAGTAGTCACTTTAAAATATGTGGACCGGGCTTCCCTGGTGGCGCAGTGGTTGAGGGTCTGCCTGCCGATGCAGGGGACACGGGTTCGTGCCCCGGTCCGGGAAGATCCCACATACTGCGGGGCGGCTGGGCCCGTGAGCCATGGCCGCTGAAGCTGTGCGTCCGGAGCCTGTGCTCCACAATGGGAGAGGCCACAGCAGTGAGAGGTCCGCGTACCGCAAAAAAAAAAAAAAAAAAAAAAAAAATATATATATATATATATATATATATATATGGACCATTTTTTTTTTTTGATGTGGACCATTTTTTTTTTTAAGTCTTTATTGAATTTGTTACAATATTGCTTCTGCTTTATGTTCTGGTGTTTTGGCCGAGAGGCATGTGTGATCTTAGCTCTCCGACCAGGGATCAAACCCACACCCCCTGCACTGGAAGGTGAAGTCTTAACCGCTGGACCGCCAGGGAAGTCCCTCACTGTTTAAAATTTAAAGAGAGTAGAAAACAAAACAAGGGAAGACACACTCTTCCCTGAAGCCTTTCAAAATGAGAGATTCTCATCTAAGTAGAATTTTGGGGGTGTGGTGACCATAGGTACTGGATTTTCTCAGATAGCCCAATCTTTAAATATTCTATCTTGGTACCAAACCCTCTGATTTTTTTTTTTTTCTAATTCTAAATTGCTCTAGACAGTACAAATAGGACCAATGGGTGGAAATCACAAGGAAGTTGTTTTTTCTGTTCAACATAAGGAAGAACCGAATAAAAACATTAAAGCTATTCGAGAGGCTGCCATATTAGGTGACGAATGTTCCATCATAAGAAATTTTTAAACAAGCTGAGTATCTAATGGACAAGGATGACATGGAAAAATTACTTCCTGAGACGGTGGGGCTGGATTACATGACCTCCAGGCTTTTATAGCCTTTTACCCTCCTTCTGGGAACCCCGAGGCCAAGCAACAAGAGCATGATGACACACACCTTGCCAGTAAAACACTGCTAATTCGTTCATTTGCAATTCTTTCTCTCGTACTCTTGTATCAAACAAAGTTTCCATGCCAAAGAATTTTTAGCTAGTGGCAAATAAATCTGCAAGCCAAAACGTTTGGAAAAATAGAAGCATTTTTCCTTTCATTAAAATTTAATTTCAAATTAAAGCAGGAAATTAAGAGCAATTATAAGAGGCTTAATCTCTAAAAATAAGATCTTTTCAGCATGCTAAAAGATTTATGTGAAGGGCATATTCACCTACATAATGTCTCACTACATTTGTTAACCACACTGCATACTCTAATTATTACACACGTAAAATACTCCTCTGATAATAGGTTTTGGTGAGAAATGGATAAAAATAAATACTGACAAAAATCTGTACTCAGTAATAGAGATATGTGTTAGCCACAGGCATATCTTCCATCAATAGCTCATCAGTACCCCTCTTCAAACTAAGTATCATAAAAATATAACAAATATAAAAAGTACAAAACAAAGCCATGATTCTAAGTATGTATTACCTAACTACATACACTCACACAAGTACACATGAACAAAATGTTTTTAAATATACCTTCTAGGTCAATTCAAGGAGACAGAAATTCGTGATCATAAAATCATTTTATGGTTTTCATTAAGAAATAAGCGTAAGTAATGTAACAAACCACAGTGAGAAGTGAAAGAACACTTATTCTCACTGCCAAGCAAAGAGATTTTCTTCTAAAGGCATAACAGCCAACAAAAATTCAGATGCTATTATCACTCAAATACATCTAATTTCTAGGACGGCTCTCAAAGAAATAAGTAGGTAAGAGGGAATCACTGAAGATTAGAGAGAATGGAATAACATGATTAGAACTTTTCAGCTTTAGTTAGATTAATCTGAAAAGAGTATTTAGGGTAACAAAGTCGAGAATTACTAGAGGTGAAGAGACCAGTTAAAAAGCTACCATGTAGTCTAGAAAATGTGATGCTAGGTTAAGTCTCTATCTATAAATGTTCAGAACAAGGAATGACTCAACCTAAGTAAACAGTATGAGAGAGAAGCTCCGAGAGAGCCATTTTCCATTTCTGCCTTCTCCCCAGGATAACTCAGGGTGCAATCTTCCATGCCCAAGAGGTAGAGCACCGCAGGTTGTAAATGTCCATGACCTGAGTCTCTTGGCACAAAGAAACAGTCCTCATTCCACCAGGAACTGCCCCAACGATAATGATAAGAACAACAATTTCATTGATCATATAGATGGCCCTTTATGGTGTACAAAGTTTTCAAAAATGCAATTAATAATTACTCTCTGTGTGCAGAACGAAAGTCATCTTCTGGGAAGATTTTGAGGTTATTAGGTTATGTCACTTGTTGATCTATTCATTCATTCAACAAAAATGGACAGATATTTCATACCACTAGGTAAAGAGTCATGAATGAGGGACTTCCGTGGTGGTGCAGTGGTTAAGAATCCACCTGCCAATGCAGGGGACACGGGTTCGAGTCCTGGTCCTGGAAGATCCCACATGCGCGGAGCAACTAAGCCCGTGCACCACAACTACTGAGCCTGCACTCTACAGCCCACGAGCCACAACT